AAATACCCTAACCAGTTTGGCTCAGTGGATAGAGCGTCAGCCTGCGGACTGAAGAGTCCCAGGTTCGATTCCTGTCAGAGGCATGTACCTTGGTTGTGGGCACATCCCCAGTAGGGGTGCGCAGGAGGCAGCTGATCGATGTTTGTCTCTCATTGATGTTTCTAACTCTCTATCCTTCTCCCTTCCTCTCTGTAAAGACCAATAAAACATATATTTTTTAAAAATTGATCAGTTGGCTATTACCACATCTTACACATCTCTGCCCAAAGCATTAGTCCATTTCATCATTACACACTTGGAAAAATGCTGGAGTTAGTCCCAAGCCACACTGATCCATTTCAATTCATTCATCAAACAAGTAGTTCTGGGTATTATTCCCCCTGTTCATTCTCTTCTCTTCCCACATCTTCCATTCCCTCCCTCATCTCCCATGACGTCAATTTATTAAACATATATACTTTAATAGGCCCGAAGAAAATACAAGTATTTCAGATTTGTTTTGCGCACAGGAGGGGATGGGCCTGAATTTCTAGAGTATGGCTCAGGCCTCCACGCACACATTTTCTCCCACTCCAGGGATTGCATTTCATCTTCATTCATCCAGCTAAGGAGAACAGAGGCTAATTTGGGAGCCTCTTTATGTCTGTACATATTCAGCCAGAGGGGTCAGTGCTGATTGATGCAAGGCACTCTGTCCTCCAAGAGCTCGCCAGTCCCTGCTGGTCCAGAGAGTAGCAACCAACAGTAACTCACCCGCTAGTGCCTGTGCAGTTCTGAGCCTCCAGCTAGAAACCGTCAATAAACACCAGAGGCAACGTATGTTGCCTTAGATCACTAATAAACGCCTCACACCACCACCTCAGAGCCCTTTTACAAAAATGTATTTCTCTACAGATGGATGCCGAGCCCTAGCAGCCAATTACTACAGAAATGCCTCAAAGGCTTGAAGGAGGAGGCAGGGAGACGGATAGGCCCCTTTCCAAAGACACGCGTTATATGCTTCCTCCTAATAAGTATTGCTCCTTTCTGTCCTGTGCCTCCTCTGAGCCAGACACCCGGAATAAGGCTTCTTCTACATTATCTCATGAATTTCTCACAGTTCTGAGACTCAAAAAGCTCTAGCCCATTCCACAGATGAGGACAGAGCTTAGGTAGCTTCTACTATCTGCCTCTTTACTCCCCAGGCCCCACGTAAATAGGTGTGTGATGTGTGTTACAAAAGCACCGGGGAAATTCCCGGATGCCAGGCAATGCAGACTGTTGTCTGGACCTCAGAGCACTGCCACACCTCCCCTCACAGAGGAAAAATGTTCAACGGCTTGGGTTACTCCACAGACTGCCAGACACACGCCCCATTGTCTGCTGCCCATCCCCTAGACGTCAGCACTTCCAGGGCCTTCCACTTTAAGGGCAAGTGTCAAATATCTGGCAAGTTTGTTTTGCTACCACAAAGTGTGGGAGTTCACTTTGTATAGGGCACTGTGAGTGGTTCTGAATTGGTTTAAGGGAATGGCGTATTAAAAAAAATGGCAAGGTCACAGTCTTCCACAGCTATTTTCAATCAGGCAACATTCAACAAAGCCAGTCCCTGGGTCAAATGCTAGTGATAAAGAGCACAAACATGCCTGGGCCACAGAGTTGATGATCCCTTTCATTCTTCCTCTGCTTTACCTCTGCTTCCTAAGAAGACTCATCATGTCTTTAGAAACTCCAGTCCTAGGCAGACATGTGGCAGGATGAAGCACCTGCATTGACCAAAAATCCACCTGGCTACTCACCATAGAAATCTAACGTCTCCACATCCTGGAAACATCACATAGCTGGACACTGGCAATGGTCTGTTAGCAAGTTAGGTTAGAGCTGTCCATTTCCCATTTCATCTACTTCTCTCTTGTAATAACCAAACCACAGACTATCACGAACTTTTGACTTTTTCTCCACCTTCCCCAGAAACTCACAACACATGAAGATGAATTATGCAAGATAATTGCTTATCTGTAATAACTCTGACATGAAGGAACCTGGGGATGCTGCCTTCCATCATCTCTCACCGAGTTGTTTTGCCACATTTCTGAGGTGTAGAGGGGCGACGTGAACCTTCTCCTCTTCGCAGAACAACCTCTGGATGTGGTAGGTCCAGGCTGGAATTTGGCAGGAAGGATCACGCCCCCTTCTTGTTGTGGAGATAAATGACCTAATATTTTGAAAATGATAACAATGTCTTCTATTTCTATACCCTTCCTGTTTTTCATGCACATTGGCATCTGTGGTGTCATTAGCTCTACACACCAAACATTACATTGGCATAAACGTTTTGATATTTTTCTCAACAATACATCTCTGTACTTCATTTGATCACCACAATCAGGAAGGGAAATATTGTTTTCCTTTTTATCAATGAAGAAACTGAGGGTTAGAGAGAGTAATGTCCTCAGCTCATAAGCTAGCATTTAAACCTGGATGACTCTTTGCAAAGTCCAATGTTCATTCGTTTCCAACCATCTTCATTTGGTGCACGGGGAAATGAGGCCATTCCCTAAGGCCGTGGTCGGCAAACCGTGGCTCACGAGCCACATGCGGCTCTTTGGCCCCTTGAGTGTGGCTCTTCCACAAAATACCGGCTCTTCCACAAAATACCGACTTCTGCGCATGGGCCACGAAGTTTCAGTCGCACTGTACGTGCTCAGCCACATGTGGTAGTTTGTGGAAGAGCCACACTCAAGGGGCCAAAGAACCACATGTGGCTCGCGAGCTGCAGTTTGCCGAGCCACGGTTTGCCAACCACTGCCCTAAGGAATCGTGAAAGAAATAAGCCACGCATTCCATCTCACAGAAGGAAGTTACAGTGGTAGGTATGTGGCCATGGCCAGTGAAAACTTCCCAAAGCCTTTGAATGAACTCCAAATCCAGTGCACTTCCAAAAGCTAGGCTCCTAGAGACGGTTCCTATTGACACTTTCTCTGCTTGTTATGTTAGCCTTGCTTTGTTGGCTGTAGAGCCAGCAGCCAGGGACAGCAGGAAGACTGAGCCAAGGGGCGGTCTGTTCGTCCCCTGGGGACAGGGGTGTTTCTCCAAGTTAGCTGTCTCTTGAAAGGACAGCCACTGCAGCATCTTGCTCTCTCCCGGTTTTGTTATCCCTGAGATAATAAATAAAGGCTCATTCTGTTGTGTCCAAAAGACCCTTTTCAGGAGACTTGCTCTTGCTGGAAGTCTCCTGAGCTTCCTCACCTGATTGCAGTCAGAGGCTGGGCATTTCCAATTAAATTAGAACAAATAACAAAAATGAGAGTGGGAAGGAGGAGGAACACACCAGCAAAAACAGGTATTCATTTGAAGTAGCCAATGAGAAAAATGGAGCCTGAAAACCCAACTATGACTGGCAGAGATTGATGTTTGTCAGCTCATCTTAGGTTAAAAGAGCTGCGGTGAGAATTTGTGGGGACGGCAACTTCAGGGCAGTTTTGTCTAGAATACACTGATGCAGATGTGGCCAGGATACACGGGGAGAAGTTTTACATTTAGACCTGCATTTTTATGTTTCTCATACTGTAATACGATCTCTATTTGGTTATAGGATGGCATGTGCAAGACAGGAGGTATAGATCTTGGAAGGTGGGAAGAGTATGTGTCCCATTGTGCCATTTTTCTTCTACCAAGTCCTGCCATGGATGAACTCTTCATTTGAGCTCAAAATTCTGCTGGAGCTGTGCCTAGAGATTTTCACTGAATAAGGATGGATGGGAAGGTAGGGGATGAATTCTTGTAGTACCTGGCCTTAATACACTCCAATACCAGTAAGATAGTTTAAAATTAAATGGAAGGACTTATGGACCAAGATTACAGTGTGACCATTACTGGAGTGATTTCGAACAGAATTCTTACTGTTCCATTAAAAAACAACATGAAATCAATAGCCTAACAAAGCCCCAGCATCCCTTTGGCCTCCTTGATACCAGTTTTTGTTGGTTACACCTTTATCCCATCTGCCTGATACATTGCTCTCACCTATTTCAGCTGCACTGGATCCTAGAATAGCATTAATATATTGGATAGGACAACCTGCCTTCACCATCCAGATGCAGAAAGGACATTTATATTTAATGTGCACTTTCAATCCTATTAGTCAAAGTAATATATTGTATAATAAAATATATCGTCTTATTCTAGTACTCTCATCCTGAAGAAACAATGAGCACATGGAAACATAACTCAGATTATATTGTCTGTCAACAAAGGCAAGCTCTCCAACAAACTCAAACCCTATTTTGATAAAATAAACTATTTGATACTAGAGAGTTAACTTAATCTTGTGCCCAAACTAGTTGCATCCACATATTAAAGGCCATTATTAACTAGGCAAAGAGATTTGAGAGAACACAATGGATGATTACTTTATAAGAGACATTCTTGCATGCAGCATTAAAAATGCAATTTGGTCCTAGGGCTGTCCCCTCCCATAACTCCCCATTTTAATTCCCACTGGCCAGGCATAAGGAAAACTTCCAAGTCTGGAAAGAAGCTGGTGTGACTGGGTATTTCCTCAGAAATGTGACAATCCCTTTATTAGAAAAAACAATAAACATGCAGGAATGAGCAGAGAAAATGTCTCTTAAGGCCATTATTTTTAGCTGAGCGTTGTTGTGACTGTTTCCTTGGCTAAACCATGAACATGTTTTCTGCACAAGCCCGGTCAGCGAATGGCCTTAATTAACTTTCGCATGGAAAACGCGGCGGTTTACCACTTATTAAATACCCACCACACTAAGTTACAATTTTATCCTTCCACATCTCACTTAGTCAAGACACCTCAAAAAACCCACAATGCTGAATAGCTGGTGATTTAAAAACAGGCACCACGTATAATTATCAGGCTGAAAACACAGGCTGTGAGGGAAGTTTACTAAAACCTGGGCAGCTTTCATTTCCAGACGGAATGATATAATTTGTACATTGAGGCGAAAGGGTAAGTCACTAAGAAAGATAGAATAAGCTGATCTTACTCAGGAAAGGAATTCAACAAATATCAAGTGCTTGCTTTGTGTTCCAGATACTGAGTATTCTTCCAACTTCCTCATGTCTAGGAATTGCAGGAGGTGGTAAACGGAGTTCAGGATTTGCTGGAGAAGGAAGAGGCGAATCTCAGCATTTTTAAATGGTATGCCTCCTACAGAAGGAAGAAAGCGTATGAAATTACTCATCAAACTAATTTACTCTTAATACAACATACAAGTAGACTAACCAAGCTCATTTCATCAAGCATTTTTATTCATGAGGGAGATGATGCAGTTTGAGACTCAATTGAGACAAAATTAGTTTTTGTGATTAGCTAGGTTGAGTGGTTAAGGTATAGTAATAATGACATCATTATTTCTTCTCCCCTCTCATACAATACTCAGAGAAACATTCACACACACACACACACACACACACACACACACACACACCCTCACCTCCATCTGTCTAAATTTGGCTTGCGAATCTCCAACTAGTGTTGTGTATGTTTCAACTTGTGTACTCTCAGAATAAAAAAAAAAAAGTGAATCCACCTCTCGTTGAAATTCCACTGTGTATAAAATGGTCTTGGAATCTGAAGGGGAAAAAAAAAAATCCTTCTACAAAGAGAACATGTGAAAGGGCCAAGGGAGAGCATAACTGAAAAAATATATAAAAATGCAAATTTTCTTAAACTTCAGCTTTGGATGGACTGAAGCATAAGTGAGAACTTCAACAAAGCAATAGAAAAAGATGACAGCTCAGAGTTTCAGAAATTTAAGACAGCAGCAGGATTAGACACTTTGGGTTGTCTTCGCACACATTTCTTAGGGGAGTTAATTCCATTTGACATGCAAGACCAAAGCAAGATTACAGAGGCACAGCCCCATGGCGAGGTGTACGCTATAGCTAAAAGCTGGGATTTGAATAATTGTGCAGGCTTACTCCAAGAATCAGGGGAGAACAGAATGAATGGATTATTACAAGGAACTTTGTACATTTTTAACTGCTGGACTTAATAAAATACCCTCTATGTGAGAGTTAGGTTATGGTCGTCTGCACTCACTCTAGCTGAAGTTTGTGGTAGAATCCATCAAGAATGAGGAAAAACAGAAGCTGTTAAAAAACATAGAAAGAAAAGAAAAGAATTTTGTAATGAATGACTGGGCTGGGTCATGCCCCTGTGATTTACGGAGGCACAGAAAATTTGGAAAACTTGAAATCAACACATTCGAGCCCCTGTGAAGGTACAGGGAATTCATTTCCTGAGCAAAGTCGAAGGAACGGAGAGTCGAGTTCAGGTGCAAGTGGGCCACAAAAAGGTGCGTTTTAATTTCACTATTTCAGCTCGTTAAGGAGGTCGTTTGTTACTGAGAAAAATTGCTAAACCACACATCATTATTTATGTATATGTATAAACGTGGCCTCTTTCCTTGGGATCTGTGGAAGCACTTGTCTGTAAGAGGCAGAAAGAGTAACAGTTCTAAAGACTTCTCCCTGCTTCATTATCTGTCCAGTGAGAATTACTAAAATTCTTTATGTAATTCTTACTTAGTGCCCATTAAAGTGAAAGATTCAAATGCTAGACAGTGCAAGGCTTAGAGAAGCTTTAAGAAAGGGAACATAGTCATGTAACAGCTGAGAATTATGAAAAGCTGCCTGTTGACAGTAGCCAAATAGACCTTTCATTTTAAAAGCCACTGATTCATCTTTGAAACGATTTGATTTGATTTTTCTCCCTTAAAATAGTCTTCCTCTCATCTCCTCCTGAGCCCGCTTCTGACCCTCCCATAGCCCTATCCAGCCCTGCATGGGGAAAAAGAAGTCAGCCCGAGAGAGGAGAAAGGGCTCTGGGGTCAGGGCACTGGGGCAGTGCGCCCTCTGCTGGAAGGCAGTCTGAGGTCCAGCTGAGAAAATTCCCCAGAGCCTGCCTCCAGGAAAGCCAGAGGTGCACATTGCCAGTAGTGAAAACCTCTTCTAGGAGGGCCATCTCTTTCTCATCCCTGCTGGTGGAGATTAGAGGGGGGACGTGAGAGGATGCGAGTGCTTCATTAAACCAGAGCTCCAGTGCCGCTCTTCTCACAAAACATGTCTGTCAGCCTCAGCCTGCCATGTAAAATGGCAACAGGAATGACGAACGCATTACAAATTTGTAGACCCTAAAATTAAACTCCACCTCATTTATTTCATATTTCCAGCAGGCTGGGGATGGCTGACATTAGAGGCACACCGCTTTCCTGTTAAGCTCCGCGGTTTCTTCCTTGGAGGAGGCATCTATACTCTGCTGTAAGGACGCTCTCGGTCTCCCCAAAGCCCCCTTTCTGCGTGGTGCCGCGCACAGGTCTGCAGAAGAAAGTCGGGAATTGTAGCCCCGGGAGGGAAGCAAATGGAAACGCCCCCACGTAAAGGCGAAGAGCTCATCTTCCCCCATTGGTCTCTGTGCATCATTTGCATCCTTGCTAAAATGTGAGGTTGCAAACCAGGAGCGCCGCTGGGAGCTTGTTAGATATGGCAGGAGCCCAGGCCCCACCTAGAGCTACTGAATAAGAATCTGCATTTGAACAAGATTCCCTGTGAGTCATAAGAGCTGAATCACAAGCAACACTAGAACACGGAGCTTTACAAGAGGAAGGAAGCCTAGATGCCACCTGCTCTCTTGGATAAGAAAACCAAGGCCCAAAGAAGAACACAGCTCCTTACACATCTAAGGGGAATTGTACACAGGCCTACATTTGGTTTGCTACCAAGCTGAAACACAGTGATCACAGGCTTTGGCTGTTAGCCTCCTCACACTTATTACAAAACCAACAGAATGCATACCGCCCTCGGGGTCCTGTCTTCCAATCAGCTCATACCACTGAAATGACTGGTCTAAATTGTGCGGGATTGACATAGAGATGGGATTCTGATATTCCTTCTATTCACATAGTGATTGATGAAACACATGGGGAAAATAAATTGAATTATGTTATAATCTCCTAGGGAAACATAATTAAGTTGTAAAGCATGCCCACGAAATTCTAAAAACCTTATATCATCTAGGCAGTGACTTCTACTGCATGATCAATAATTATATTAATTAAAGATAATTATTTTGATAGGATGGTGTGACTTTGGGGTTCCACTTATTCTTGATTTGATGTATTGATCCAACGGTGAAGACTTGGTTGGTTCAAGAGCTAGATGTAAAGAATTCCTTGGAGGACCCCAAAAGTTTTATTATATTTATGCTAACTTGTATTAATTTGTAATTCCTGACCACCAATTTGATGCTTATTCACAATCCAATGAATAATACTTGTGCAAGATCAACAGAATAGTCCATTCGCCATTCTTAATTCTGTATGAACAAGCAACAAGCTATCTCCAGCAAGTAATAGGTAATATATAAAATATAAAGTCCAATATTCCTTGAAATTTGGACATTTCAGGAGTTCCAATACATTCTTTGTATGTATGTAGGTTGCTCAAGCACATTTGTGGCAATTTGGGGCCAGGGAACTAAAGAAGCTGACCCAAAGTTAGCAGTCGCAGAAAGTTGGTGTGAGCATTCACTATCTTCCTTTGCAAACACTTAGGCCTGGTTATGAAGATTAGTCCTGGGACACATCTGGCAGTGCACATTCTAGGCATAGTCAAAAACTGAGATTTCCGGTTGATTCTCTCTCTGCATGTTCCCAATTCACCCTCAGCAAATGTGTACCTTCTGACTTTCATAAAAGCTTCAATGATCATCATCAACAGAAATCAAAGAATGAGACAGGGATGTAAATTGAAAGTAATAATGCAAGAAATCATATAACAAATATACCCAAGTTTTTTTAAAGGCAACAATCAATGTGTGCTTTTAACTTCCCTGAATTATCTACATTATTCTAGATAACTTGTTAGGTTGTTGTAACATTTAGGGGTAATGTAGTTGAAAGAATCACAATTAAGGTATTAAGAATGAAATAATTTCAATTTCATATTGTATCATCAAAATTTCCTTAAATTATTATAAAAGATCTTGCTGACAATATGTTCACTATGCGAGAGGTCATAGATTTTTCCCTCAAGGAGGTAGAAAGTGCAGTATTTAACTTTCTTGGAGGTTTGATATTTACTGAAGTGGAATATTGCCTAATGAACTAGCAGCTTGTCCTCTCCACTTACTAGTATTCAGTCTGGAATGTGTGTGTGTGTGTGTGTGTGTGTGTGTGTGTGTGCATGTGTGTGGCAAGGTATTCCCTGTTCTGTGATATTAGGGTCTTGAAAGTATGCAACTATTGAATGAAATGAGAAAAAATATAGGAAGTGTTTAGCAAGTGTTATTTACAATAGCTAGGATTTAGAGAGAGCCCAAATGCCCATCAGTAGATGAGTGGATTAAAAAACTGTGGCACATTTACACAATGGAATACTATGCAGCTGTAAAAACAAAGGATCTCTTACCCTTTGAGACAGCATGGAGGCACGTGGAGAATATTATACTAAGTAAAACAGGCCAGTCAGAGAAAGACAAGTAACACATGATCTCACTTATATGTGGAATCTAATGAACAAAATAAACTGATGAACAAAAAAGATCCAGAGACGTTGAAGCGTGTAACAGACTGATGTGTTTCAGAGGGAAGGGAGGTGTGGAGCAGGAATTCACCAATGAACTTATACGTATATATGCATAATCCATGGACAGACAATAGTTGGGGAAGGCCTGGGGAGAAGGGAGAAGGTAAGAGGGTAAGTCGGGGGAAGAGGGGATGGGAGGATAAAGGGAACATCTGTAATACTTTCAACAATAAAAGTGAAGGCTAAGGAGCCAATGTCACCTGGTTTGAATCTTGGATCTGCCACTTACCAACTATGGCTACAAGTAACATAAACTCTCCCTATGCCTCAGTTTCTACATCTGTAAAATAAGGATAACACCTAATGGGGTTGTTGTAAGGATTTAGTTAATTAATGAGCAAAAGGCAACTAGAACATGCATGAGATGTACTAAGTACTCGATTTATAATGTCTATTATTACTATTGCCCTCATAATTTATTTAGGTTGACTTATTTGTGGTCATATTACAATATATTAAAGAATAGTCTTCTTTAAACTCACCTGTTAGAGGATCAGAAAGCCAAGTTTTAGTCCCCAGATTAACATCTACGTTCTTTTCTTTCTTTCTTTTT